ACAGAGCCTGGTAGCGCTCTGGGTCCCGACTGGCACGAAGGAATAGCTCTTCGAGGAGCGCAGCAGGTGAGACAGTTTGTGGAGGTCAGTGTGTTTCTGTGGGAAACCGCTCACGCAAATATTCAGTTTTGACCTTCTGCTCTGAGTATACTGTCTTCCAAAATTTCTCTTCCCTCCGCCGGTGTGTGCTCAGGTTTCCCGCAGAGTTTCAGTGGAATACCAGTGCGAAGTGGAAAAGATCTTCACCTCCGAGGAGCTCCTCAATTCCCCACAGCAAACACTAAGACCCGAGAGCGGTGAGAACCTCGGGCTTGTCCTCCAAATGCTCCTTTTTCTTGCCCTCCCCACTTCTTTTTTTTTTTTTTCTCCTCCTCTACTTTTTAATTCCTCGGGCTTTTCTTCCGTCGCAGCAGGATCCTGGCCGGTTTACGTCCAGCTGACCAATGGCAAAACATTTGGCTGTGACTTGGTTGTCAGCGCCACCGGTGTCGTGCCAAACGCTGAGCCGTTTCTCCATGGCAACACTGTAAGAAAACTCATCCATATGCAGACTAGAATTTATTAGCGGGCGTGCCAGTGCTGCAGGGATCTTCAGGCTTTGGGCACACTGTTGCTTTGTATTAGTATTAAACGCAATCCTGCTGCTTGTCACTCGTCATATCGTCACATGTCCGGCCAGACGTTATTAAGACGTGTCTGTTGTTGATTTCGTGTCTCAAGACTGCACACGGTTTCATGACAGGCCCTAATGTGGGACAACATTTTTCTGTTCCAGTTTCCAAGCACATAAAAGGCTTCAGCCGACGTAAATAAAGAACAAAGAGCTCTCATGCGCTCCTAATTGTTTTAGCCGGGATAACAACGCAGAGTCTTCCTCCTCTCATGTGAGATCTGCTTCTACCTACAATCTCATTTGTCTTCGTAATTGGAAAAGTGGATCTAATGCTCCTAGATGTCAGTAAAGGACAGATGAGCTTTCGTTGCTTTGGTTTTCGGCCACTGCATGAAAATTAAGTGTAAATTATACTGTAAACAGCTGATATTTGGCTTTTTTGTGCATTGTTGTAATAATTCTATGTTGCTTGTTAATGAGATCTTTACTTTATGCTGTGCGTCTTTAGTTTGCAGTGGCAGGTGATGGCGGCCTGCGAGTGGACGACCACATGATGACGTCAGAGCCGGACGTGTACGCAGCAGGAGACGTTTGCACTGCATGCTGGGAGCTCAGCTCACTGTGGCAACAGGTAAAGTCATTAAATATTCTTTACAACTGTGTAGAATGACAGTATTTACTTTAAACGTTGATTCTTTATGAGGTTATTTGTTGTCCTGTGTGCCTAAACCACAAGCTGTGCCCAGATTGTTGCCTTCAGAATAAACTGAAACGTCGAGCAGTTTGATTTGATTCCAGCAAAAGTTGGACGCATCATCAAATCTTATTTCGTCTTTTCCAGTCGGATTAAAACCAGTTGTTCCAGAACACTTAACAATCTGAGTCTGTCATCAAGCTACAGTCGAGGCTACAATACAAGCCGGTCTTCTGATGTTCAGGCATAAAGTTTTGGCAAAGAGAGAGAACCCAGAAGAGCTCCTATTCAGTGGATTTTGTCACAACTATGTGACTCGACCAGTGACCTCAAGTGGTTTGGTCGTCCCCAGGCCCAAAACCAACCTCATGAAAAGAACTATTGTTTACAGAGGAGCAAAAGCATGGAATTCGCTTTCTTTACAGATCAGAGACACTAAAAATATCGTCTCTTTTAAGAGGAAAATAAAAGGACAGTTGGCACAGAACATCGGAGGATTCTTCCTCCATTTACTGCTTTGTACCAGGTTGCATTATAAATGAAATGTTTGCTATTTATTATGTAGTTTTAATGTTTTGTAAATTGTAACTTTTAATTTTGACCCTGGAACCCCAGGGAGACAAGCAACCACTTTGTGGAAGCTAATGGGGGATCCTAATAAAGAATAAAGTAACCGACTCTCTGAAGTCGAAAACCCACGAGCATGTGGGAAAGACATGTTTAAAAAATTGGCAAAATGACAAAATGTTCAGAAACACAAAGAGTAAAAACCAGAAAAATTATCTGATATTAAGTTTTCCAACAGTCCTTGAACAAATCATGGTAATAATAATAATAATAATATAATAATAATAATAAACTTTATTTATAGAGCACTTTTCAAAACAAATGTCACAAAGTGCTTTTCAATAAAATAAATTAAAATTAAAATGCAGTAAGCATACAGAACAATTGATAAAAGTAGAAAGCACACACACACACACACACACAAAAAATCATGTGCTGTATATAGATTTTTAAGGAAAAATGACTAAATATAAGCTTAAAATGACTCACGTCACAAAAATTCTGAAACTTTTCTGTTGAACCAGGATGAACTGTGTGTGGCATGGAAACCAATTAAAAATGTACCTTGTAAAAAAATAATCTATCGTATGTTGAGCCACCATTTTTTTCTTTTCTTGTATTGGCAACATCTCTTTACACTTTGAAAAACATTGAACATGTTGGTTCCAGATGTTTTCATTTTTTGAGAATGAATAATTGAAGAAATTCAACTTGAGTTTTTTTGGTTGGTTTGGTTTTGGTTTGATGATTTATGGCATCATAAGCTTGTCATTCTGCACAGAAGTTGTTTTTAAGTTCTCTCCACTTCTAATCATTGTTGTTCTGTTTCCATAGAGGTGCAGGACTTTATATTGCAGTGAAAAATGAGCCCACACAAAACCTAACTCTATGTTTCATACATCTTCCTGCACCAGTGGCACTTTTTTAGGCAGTTGGAAGACTCTTTATCGACGCTGAAAAGCTAAAAACATTACATTATTTGTCCTCTGTATTGCATATTAGAAGCTCATACTGTGTGTTCGGTCTCCAGATGCGTTTGTGGACTCAGGCCCGTCAGATGGGCTGGTACGCCGGCCGCTGTATGGCAGCACACGTCCTCTCAGAACCCATCGAGCTGGACTTCTGCTTTGAACTCTTCTCACACATTACAAAATTCTTCAACTACAAGGTCAGCGACGTTTTACTGCAGGGCATTAAAGCTATTTAAATAATAACCACTGTGTTAATCATCTACTGCTCAAACTGCAACTGTTTTTTATTACTTTCAGGACCCATGAAGGTCATCCTCCCTCGGCCTCGTTGGTGTTTTCCTTCCTCTCTCTTTCCCAGCATGTTTTTAAACAACTTCCTGTCTTCTGATCGTTCCTCAGGTGGTCTTGCTGGGAAAGTTTAACGGGCAGGGGCTGGGCTCCGACCACGAGCTGCTGGTACGCTGCACCAAAGGCCGGGAGTATGTCAAGGTGATGACGTGGAGGGAACTAGTGATGAGATCATGTTTTATTGTGTCTGCTGGTTTTATTTCCATTGGGTTATCACAGCTCACACCATCAGGAGACAAACTCCAGAACTCTGCCCCACTTGGCCGTCCACCAGCAGCGCTTTTGTTTTTGTGGGACAACTTGTCGTATGTTCTCAATCTGTTTAACAAAAAGAGGTTTTTATTCATTTATGCACTATGTTTTGTCTTCTACAGCTACATGCAGCTTCTGTCTGTAGTATACTTTTTTTTTTTTGTTAATGTCAATCAAAACTTTATTTTTATTTTATATTTTAACTCACCAGCAATCCGTGACTATTTGACCTACTTGTGCTGTATTGCAGATTTTAATTTAATGCCACGATGAGAAAAAATAGTGAAATTTTCAGGCTTTTATCTTAAATAGTTCCTGAGATATTGTACTGTAAATTGAGCATCATCACATTTCAAGTGCTGGAATTGGGTCGACGAGCAATTAAAGAAAACAACCAAACATTCACATATGTCGGACAGTATTTCATCGAGTATCATCAAGCAAAAATTTCACAAATACCTTTAGAAATATTCTGATTTTATGTCATAACAACTGCAGGAAAATCAAACAAGAGTTGTTCTAAAAATGTGGTGATTTGATGGAATGACACTGATTCTATTTTTTTTTTTTTTTACTGACTTAAATGAAGCTAGAGTTTGTTTCTCTGCGATTAGAATTTGCTAAATCCTGCCTCTAATCTGAGCAGCATCAAAACCGCGTGTTGTTTTTATGGTGTCTGGGAAATTTAAAAGCCATCGCTGCGACGAACAATCAGCCGACGCCTGTGACATAATGCTGGGTCCGATTAAAGGACGATTTATCATCAATCAGTTATTGGTTGAAACTGTAAAGATAAGGAGGTCGTCTGAAGATGTTAAAAATTATTTCCTAATTTCTTGGTTCCAGGTGGTCCTCAGCGGAGGCAGGATGGTGGGAGCGGTGCTGATCGGAGAAACGGATCTGGAGGAGACGTTCGAAAACCTGATCCTCAACCAGATGGATCTGACGCCGTACGGAGAGGAGCTGCTCAACCCTGACGTCGACATAGAAGACTACTTCGACTGATCGCCGCAGCTTAGACTTTGGAATATCGCTGCAGACTGAAGAAATTATGCAAGTTTAGGGATGCCGATGAGGTAATCGGACTTGAAGAATGTCCAAGAAAAGGAATCGTGCATTCTGTCATGTCATGTTCAGATAGTGAGATACAGCTGTGTATTAGCTGTGGTTATCTGGCTGTTTGTAAATCCAAAAAATGTATTTTTGCTGTAAAAATTAAATTATTTGCAGAAACATATGCACTAAATGGCTGTTTGAATCATATGTTTAGATTATTTTTTTTCAGCTAATTGCGACATTATTCCTCTGAATCCTAACATGTCGCTGCAGGTTTGAAAAGCATGTGTGTATTTTTTTAAATTACACCATTGACCAGAGCCAGAAACTGTAAAAACATAAAGAAGTGCCTGATTTTGTACTTTCTGACAGTCCATGAAGTTCTCCTTCATACTGTTCTGTTGGAAAACGAAACCAAATCTACCCATAAAATCATGATATTTAATCAAAGTCAATGTATTCTATATGTCTTGTTTTAAAATTTGCCAAAAATATACTGTTTGCTCTGAACATAATCTGCAAAAAACAAAAAATTCTGCACTTCTCATCGCAACCGTGAAGCCTTTAATGACTCAGCTGCAACCAACGGTCATGTGACAAAAATTCTTTGATTTATCAGCTGAATTTGGCTGAACTGCAGGCTGAGTTTACACCTAGCAGACAAGTATGGTAACAATACATGGCATGTAGAGTAACCTACTTTTTTCAGTATTTGTAACACCTGTAGGAATGTTTGCATTTCTTTTTAGGAAAATAAAAACTCAACTTTATTTATGATTTAGACATAAAGACATTTCTGAGTTCTTTGTGTTATATTATGGTGAACAATGAGCTCATAGTGAGGAAAACTATGACAGGAGCTAAAAACATCCAGGAACTACTTAGGATTTAGAGAATTAACACATGCAGTCGTCCTCAAATGTATTCATACCCTGACAAAAGTAATGCTAAATAAACATTTAATGAGAATCATGATATTGCTTTTGAATTGTGGTTCAACAGAAATATACATATTTTTAAAAACAAGCAAACAAGCATGATGGGACCCGTAAACTAATATTTTGTTGAACAACCCTTTGAGCCAATCACTGCAATCAAGTGTTTTCTGTAACTCTCAGTCAGACTTCTGCACCTGTTGACAGGTATTCTGGCCCACTGCTCATCAGCAAAGTGCTCTAAGTTTTTTTATTATTATTTTCACCCACAATTCAAAAGCAATTTCATATTTCTCTAAATTATAATTTTGCTAATTTTTATTTATTATTACTTTTTTCAGTTTCTAGTTATTTGAGTGACGAATTCTGGCTTTTCCTTAATGGAAGGGTATGAATAAATTTGAGGACGACTGCATCTGTCGCATTCAAAGCAAGATTTAAAGTAAAAATGCAGACATGAAATGAGATACAAATGCAGCATATTGAGGATAAAATACACCAAGACTGACTCGATTTATTCTTCAAACAGCTAAAAATTTTTCTTTTTTTTACTCACAAGAATTAAACATGTTCATGTTGATGGTATAAAGGACAATCCCTTTGTTGCCGTGTCGTTATGGAAACTCTCGATCAGATTTCAGTCTAACTGGTAACTATATCTCCTGCTGTGCCGCGGCAACAATTGGCATTGTCAGCCTCGCACAATGTTGTCCGTTGTTACTGGGATGTGTTGCTTTTGGGGATGTTGCTATTTGAAAAGTGCCTCTTTTGAAAGGACAAGAAACTTTAGAAGTGTCGTAAAAAGGAGTCGAATTTAGGAGACTGAAGAAGACAATCGTCCATTTCTGCTTGTTGGTTCGCCGCTGGGCATGTTTTACTTTTTTTAATACCAACAGAGGAATTTTCTGGTTAGTAAAAGCTGCAACTTTGGTTTATAGTCTCTTAGAATTATGGAGCATAACGAAAAGCATGCAATAAGCCTCCAGGTCCTCAATGGACGTCTGTGGAAGCAAGTCATCAAAAGACACTCAAAACATGAGGACAAGTGTTCTAGTTTTCATATAAAGCTGCTGATGAGGTAAAGACAACACCCTCCACTCAGCTCTCCAAGGTGCATCTGTGCAAGTGGAGAACAGGGCATTATTTACAGCCATGGTTCTCAAATTTTCATCCTTTAAACGTCCCTTTAGGAGCCAAAGAATGCTCGCACCATCATATTTATTTCCTAATTATTCACAATAATAGACAAAGCACCTCATAAAAAAGTACTCAAGTTAGATCTGATTGAAATAAAGGTCAACATGAGGCAACTTTTCTTTATATTCTGCACATAGTTTACATTAATTCAGCTAGTTTCACTCCATATTTTCCCCCCTCTGGTCACCCACGTCCCCTCTGCAGTGGCTCTACGTCCTTCTAGAGGAGCCCACACCCCGGATTGAGAACCACCGGTTCACAGGCTGAGTCAACACTGCCCACAGAGCCACATGCGTCAAGATAAAATTCAAATCCCTGTTTATACAGAGACTGCCGGAGCAGAGGGCAGGACGACTGGAGCGCGGAGATCCGCATGTTACCAAGCAACCGAGCAAGCCAGATCTGAAAAGTGTGTCAGACGTGATCGAATACATGAGGGCTGTCACCTTCCACATGAAACATTTCTATTTATAAAAGGCGGTTTACTGCATGTGAGTGCTTGTTTTAAATGAAATGAGTCACTGCACACGGATTTTGCACAGACGTTGGATTGTATGTTCAAGTAGTCGTGATGACGACTCGATAAAATGGCTTCATTCAACTCCTGCATGTTGTTCCTAATTATTTCTGCCAGTCAGTCCACATCCAGAGGATTTCCTGGCTCAGAATGGACATTTGGGGCCCTTACTAACCCCCATGTGTGGCTGTGATGCAGACATCTATTCATTTTACTGTTATTTCTGACCATTTGATAGACGATAAATGTGTGTTATGTGTGGGTAAATGGGAACCTAATGACAAAACTGATTAAAAATACGACTGATAGTTCCAAATTGTTTGTTCTCAACCCAAAAAAAATGCTATTTTCTGTCCTGGTACTTATAGTTTTAGAAATTTATGCCACCCAGTCAGTACTGTCTATCCAAATACTTGCATTTTTAAAGGTCAATTTTGGCCAAACTACAGCTTATAGTTTTATTTCCACTCAAAATATACTTTCGGTCTAAGCACATATAGTTTTCAAGGTTTATTCCACCTAAAATATACTTTCTGTCCAAGTATTGATGGTTTTAAAGGTTTATTCCATCCAATTAGTACATTTATTCATCCCGAAATAGCACTATTTGGCCAAGTACTTACAATTTTAAAGGTTTGTTCAACCCAAAATACTACTCTCTGTTCCAGTATTTTTGGTTTTAAAAGTTTATTCCACCGAATTGGTGCTTTCTGTCCAAATATTTCTAGTTTTAAAGGTCAGTTCATCCTAAAAATACTGCTTTCTGTCCAAGTACTCCTAGTTTTAAAGGTGTATTCAATCCAAATACTACTTCTGTACAATCAGTTATTATGTTTGAGGTTTATTCATCCCAAAGATTACTGAAAAGTTAGCTCGCCTCTGGAGTAAACAACTGGTTGTCATGTTATCTGGACGGAAGAAGATGTGATGTGAACCAAGGGTCCTAGAAACGGGGTCCTACTACTGGAGCCCTGAAAGTGCAGCAGACACTTGCTACTCCTTGCAGGAAAACCTCAGACATCTACATTACAGATCAAGTTTAGGTGTATTTTGAGGTGTGTGCATGCTTTTGCAACATAATTCTAGCATTTAAATAAGACTGAAGTGACAACCACCAATAAAAAGCAGAGAGGCATTCAGTCTTCAAGCGTTTCCTTTAAATCCAGCATTGCGGCCGTGTTCCTTTTATGATGAAAAAAGGCGGATTAGCCTGAGTTAGAGTGGATTTGGCCTCTCCATGTCGGACTAGCTGGCTCCGTCACAGCGCTGCCATTTAAACCGCTCAGACGTGACGCAACACGTAATTCATTCAAGCAGATTACGCACGTGACATCAGCGGGAGAGCGAGCGGAGAGGGTGCGTTTGTGCGGGCACACCGCCGAGCACCGATTTGAGGGGTTCGGGTGATATTTTATCGGGTTATTTTGTGTATTCGCTTCACTTAAGAATTAAGCATTTAGTTAGGATTGTTTTGAGACGTTTTTAAAAGCAGGAAAACGGTTTAATTATTAAGCTCCGCCTCGATGGTGCACGCCGGTGACCCATCGAGCGCTCCCAGTGAGTCACCCGGCTACCGGCATGCACTGGGGTGACATTTTTATTTTTTTTTTTGGAGGTGGGTGGGTTTTTTGAGAGGCGTTGCCGCAGCACACGGACCGCACCAGGAATATATACCCGCAGTTTCCTCGCCCTGTTTTCATACATTGCGCATATTTTCCCGCCGCCAACTGCAGCAGCTTCCAGAGGTTTTTTTTGGTTGTGTTTTTTTCTTGAAGATAGACATCCGAAGAAGTCAAAGACGACGCCATGGCTAACTACATCCACGTCCCTGACGAGGCTCCCGCTGTGCCCAAAATAGACGTGACAGTTGACGAGAACGACTACCGACCCGGCGCGCTGAAGCTCATCAAGGAGCTGAGACCGAGCTGGAAGCCGTCCGAGGTCAAAATGAAGGTGCCGTTAATTAAAATTTAATAACGTTTCACCGTTTCCGTGCTCGTCCCGGTGTCTTTAATGCCCGTTTCGTTGCCTCCGGAGTCGTTTTAAAAGCGACGTTTTAGCTAGCAAGGTGTTCCCGCTAGCTAGTTACGTAGTTACACACGAAACTAGCTAGACACACGTTAAACCCCCACGAGCAACTGGAAATAACGTGTTAATGTCACTATAAAATCGCTGTTGATATCCACAGACAGATGGTTAGAGTATGTCCTGGCGGTATTACAGCCGGTATTTTTTTATTCATTTTTTTTTTTTTTATAACCGCCTCCTAAAGGTTAATGTTTTGCCTTTTTGCAAGTGGAATATGCGTCAACTGTGGTCAAGATCAAACAGTGGGGGGGGGTTTCTGTTTGCTCCTTTGCATTCACCTGGGACACTGTCAGAGTGGTAATAAACGACAAGGACTGTCTGGAAATCATGAGGATTGGTGTAAAGATGTCATACATAGAGATAAGAGATAAAACTTAAGAGTATTCTTCACTATTGTAAGGGACACAGAGGACAAAAAAAGAGCATGACTGTGGCTTTCTTTGCATTTGTGATTAGATCTAATCAGGTAAAGGGTGTTGATTGACCTGCCAACGTCAGAGGGGACTAATTACTAGAGCTTGACCCGTATTGGATTGTTGGGGTCAGTGCACATACCGATTCACTGATGTCGTCAGATTGGCCGGTAGTCTTTGAAATGCATCTTAGGTGTATGTTTAAAAGATCAAACAATGGTGTGCTTGTGTGTTAATTTTCTAGCAATGTATTTCACAATGTAGTTACCACAAAGACACCGCTTTGACTCGGCACCATTGTGTGCTCAGCTGCACTCTGCTACATGCGCTGCAGAGTGTGTTGTAAAGAATGGAGGATGACACTGTTTTTAAGTTATCTCATGCATTTTCTTCTGGATTATATTTTGTAAGAAGAAAAAAAAATAGCTTCATAGCAGCACATATTGGACAACACACACACGGCAAAACCAACACATACGTGACAGGCTGATATCAGCAGATAGTATTGGCTTACAGATGTATTACATTTACCAAAAGAAACACTTGACATGCATACAATATTCCTAACATCTAGAGAAAACAGACAACAAAAAGAGCATGACTAAGTAATCCTGTAAGAGTGTTGGTTGGTTGACCTGCCAAAGTAGACTAGTTACGAGAGAATGATCGCTACTCCAAAGCACATATTAATTTAAGAAAGTTATACTCGTGTTGGTTATCTGCTTGTCTGTGCTCTGCTACATGCGCTGCAGAGAATGGAATTGGAGCTGCCCCACTGGATAAACAATGTGATGAGACTGTTTCGACAATATCTGAAGCATCTTTTTCCGCTTTATGTTCTGTAGGAAATAATTCACATCAGCTCATATACAACATTTATGCTGCTGCTCACATATCCATGACAAGGCTAGCATCAGCTCATAATATTGGCTGACTAATGTACTACCATGTATTATGTATTATCCAAAGAGACACTTTGACTTGCATACAACATTACAGCCTGGACAAACACCCGCGAGGGATGTTTTCCTTTTCAGTCACCAGCTGGGGGTGTGGCTCTGCTTAGTAAACACAGTGAGGATGGAAGCTGGTCACATGCTCAGACTGCCGCTCTTTCCCAGTATATTCATCAATGACAGCAAAGTGGGAACTCAGCGAATGCCAGTCATTGCTTCCTCGTGCAAAATAAAATTCCAGACGGTCCTGGCGTTCCCAGTCAATCCCAGATTGAGTGAACAATTAGAGCTGGTATGTTGGCCTCTCATCGTAATCTTCCCAGCTTCACAGCAGAGACGACTCCGCTTAAATCAGCCATATTTTTTTTGTGGCTGCATTCATCCCGCCTTCCTTTCCTGCAGCATGCCAGTTTCCCAACTCCTCACAGAATTTATGTAATGCTCAAAACAATGTAGGTTTTCAGGCACAGTACTAAAATAGCATCATGTGGATGGTCCCACTGTCATTTAATGGTAGGAGGTCAGTTCAGGACAGACTGTGATCATTTCCCCTGATTCACCTGCCTTCCACTCTTTTCTCCGTGTCTACAGTTTTTCACAGATGGAATCACCAACAAACTCCTCGGCTGCTATGTGGGTGCAGTCATGCAGGATGTGGTTCTGGTCCGTATTTATGGCAACAAAACAGAACTGCTGGTCGACCGTGAAAACGAGGTGAAAAGTTTCAGAGTGCTACACGCACACCGCTGTGCGCCGCGCCTTTACTGTACCTTCAACAACGGCCTGTGTTATGAATTTCTGCAAGGAACCGCCCTGGAGCCGGAGCACATTCGCAGCCAGCCTGTTTTCAGGTAAATGGAAAAGAGCTTGCTGTTCACAGAAGGCTCTTTACAGTATTTGCACAGTGTCATCAGAGGTGTGTCACCTGTCACTGCCTGACATCCCGAGGCTACATATGCATACTTACCTTGCATAATGACTGACAAAACAGGCTCTTAGCTGAATTTATTTGCATACTTTAGATCCCTGAAACTGCGAGGGGAAGTGCCAGTTCTCTCTTGTTCCTTCTTCTCTACATTCCTTCTTCTTTTATTCACTTTCTTCACTTATTTTCAGTTGTACAGTTGTCCGGTGCAGTTCAGCTTTCCTATACACACAATAAGGAACGATTTCCCCAGAGGTGTCACGGGAGTAACTGTGTCATATTTCTGAAAGTTCATTAAAAATTGGCCATACGCATAGCTCTTAAAACATTTCACCCAAATGCAGGTTAAGAAAGAAGGGACAGGTCCACAAATGTTTATGAAAAACTAGGAAAATACTATTTAAAACTTAACTAATGCAACCGCTGCTCATCTACTTTATAGTTTCACCAAAATAATCTGGTTAGGAAACTCTTGTGGCTGTGAAAAATGTAAGAATAAATAAATGAGAAGTCCATGAAGACAGTAATTACATGCAGATTGGATATGTGGTCTGGTAGATGAACTGTGGTAAATTTCTTTTTAAATGGGAGCTTTTTCTAGTTTTATAATCGACGACGAATTAGACAAAACAAGTCTGGCCAAACATTGATGTTAAGTCTAACTGACACATCATAAGAATGTTTTTAAAAATATTTGTAGCCGACTGAAAAGAACATGCAGCTCTGAAAAAAATATTTTTTTTATTTATTTTTTTTTACTCTCAGTGGCTAAGCTGTAACTGGAGCCCAGTGTATTCCTCCTTTCCGCTCTCATTCTGATTTTCTGCTTCCACCTTGCAGGCTAATCGCCCGGCAGCTGGCCAAGTACCACGCCATCCATGCCCATAATGGCTGGGTACCGCAGTCTGACTTGTGGCTGAAGATGGGCAAGTACTTTGCGCTCATCCCAAAGTACTTCAAAGATCCTGAGCGAAATGCCAGGTAAGTTCATGTCATGAATCGAAGTTACGGAGATGTGCCAGCTCCTTAGATGTGGCGTGTTAACTGTCAGAACTGTCCCTTAGGCCCATTTAGTGTTTTAGAACAGAGAGAGAAGAACAGAAGAACACTTTGCATAACCAGTTTAACAAGTGAACACATGAGATGGGAGCACAAAGACACTTTGAGGACAATCTGAATTTGAGAGAGCTGTCTTGTTGTGTTATTCACGCTGTTCTGAATTCAAATCAACTGAAAGTAACAGTGAACCTGTAATAAATAGATTTGAGAACCTTTACAAGGATGCCATTTTTCTGGTTCTTTGAAGAAGGTGTAGTTAGAAAAAAAACAGCTATAAACACGGTGTTTAGGATCGTGTAGCGTTGCATCATGTGTATTCCGGTTATCTCGACGTGGAACTATATGACCTTGTACCTCTCTTATCAGTGAGTCACGAATGATTGAAACGACCCCGTGTGCAATCGTACGACACAAGAGCGCTCATTATCATACCTCGTGTGTCCTGAGGAAGTACGTGGAATTCCTTTCATAACCTCAGCAGCTTTGGTTTACAGCTGTGGCATTCCTCAGAGCTGTCAACAGAGTGTGTGTCTCTAAAGTGTAAATCATAGAAGAGCAGGCCGCTGTGAGTAGAAAACGTAGTTTATTTATGCTCAGACGAACCAGAATCAAGCCTGCTGCATCACGTGTGGATTGACTTTTAGTTATTGTTTCCACAGGCACTAACAATTGCTTGACAATTTGGCAATAACAGCGACCTTTGTGTATATTGACACCAAAAAGTGAATCCAAAACAAAGATTCACGTTGTGATGTGACGTTGATTTCTATGGAGGTCACCCTAATAATTCCATGGTAGGAGAAGTGCTGACGAAGATTTAAGGCTTGTGACACCGGCCGCATCTCGAGGGTTTTGCATATTGAAGCCAAAAGCAAACATTTGGACAACCTCAATCGTCTGGATATTTACTTTGCGGTACAGTTTTTGTTCATTTTCACTTCCCTGTCGCCTGATCACTTCCTACAAGTGGGGGAAAAAAAGAAGAGGAGGGCAGCTTTATTATTTATGTAGATTTTATTAATGTTTTCACATTCTTAGTCTAAGCAGTTTCTGGGTGTTTACTTACTGAAGCCTCATTTGTAACTCCAATATAAAGTCCTGCACTGTTATGGAAACAGAACAACCACGGCTAGAAGTAAAGAACTGTGTTTTGTGAATGTGATTGGGGCTGTTTAACAAATCCTCAATGCCATAAATTCTAAATACAAGAGAGCGACATTTCTAGATTTATTTTACAAAATTTGAACAAAAAATAACCGGAATCAACATGTGCAGTATTGTTGTTTTTTTTACGTGCCCACAGATTCTTCCAACACTGGAAAAAACGGTGACTGTACATGTTATGAATATTGCACGACTGATTAGTTTCCATTCTCGTCTCCTCTCTGTTCTGTGCAGTTTGCAGTTCAGCTTAAAAATATCTCAGAATTGTTGTCATGGGACTGTTGGTCATAGTGGAGTGAGTCGTCGCTTCTTATCTTCACTGAGCTGGTGCAATTTTTAGGTTTAAACAGACACTGGTTCGTGTAAATGTTTTATTTTTGATAGTTTTTTAAAGGAGACATGTAGAATAAAGTGATTTTGATGACATGTCATGACTTTAAGCTCAGATTTGATTAAATTTTCCAATGAATCGTCACATAAAGTTGAAAATCCTGAGATTATTTTCTGTTTTCACAGTTTCTTGTTCTGACAAATGGTGTAATTTTGGGGATTTTTGTTTTTAAGATATGGTCTGCCTTTAAGTCTGTTTTATAAAACGGTAATGAACTAAAATATTTTGATAGTGTAGTGATGTACTGTCACAACAGAATATAATCTATGTTATTGTGAATTAGCTCAAGCAGTTCTTTTAAAGCACTAAATATCTTTCGCTGCAGTTGTAAAATTGTGAGGATCTCAGCTTCAGCAAAGCCTTTCATTCTCTTCAGAAATGTTCCCATTGTGCTCTAACTAGGTTGTCGTGAGCTATTGTTGTGCTGTCATGCTTGGCATTAATGAGAATAATGGTGTATCTACAGGACAGTTAAACAGACTTAAGATGACATAAATATGTAAATGTACGGACCCAGATGAACTGTTTGAAAAATTAGAGTACTTGTTGTTCCTTTCGCTCTCTTCTTTTTTAATGTTTTCTGTTTCTATTCCCATCCTCTGTTTATTTCTAACTCTACTTTCAGGTTCCCTTTCCTGACTTATCCACCTCCATCTGCTGTTCTGTTAACACTCCTTTCACACCTCCGTCTTCCTCATATGTTCACTTGCTTGTCCTCTCTGCCCCCTCCAGGTTTAACACGGAGGTTCCCAGCCCACAGTGCCTCCGAGAAGAGCTGGTGTGGCTCCAGCAGAGGCTGTCGCTGCTGGGCTCGCCCGTCGTTCTCTGCCACAACGACCTGCTGTGCAAAAACATCATCTACAACGAGGAAGCAGGTGAGTATGAACTGCAGGAGTGCAGTCATAGACAGTACTCGTGTGACTGATTTGTGTCGTAGTGTGATCTGCGGTGGTCCCTTTGCTCAGGTAGGATTGCATTACCTGGACTTCCTCAACCCTAGTCACATGCTCCACTCATTGTCGGTGTTTGCATCGGGCTGCAGGTGTGGAATTAGAACGGTCAGACAAGACAATCCAGCTGTTTGGGTGTTCTGCTCGGGCTTTACGTTGACTCCTTGTTTAAATTTTGCACATGCATTTATATGTTGGGACTAAATTTGGCCAAAATCTCCTTTTTATGAGGGGGGAATACAAAGATTTATTAAATTAAATTTGGTCCAAAGTGAAGCCTTTACCCATTTGGATTCTTGTTCTTCAGTTTGTCGGGTGTGTCGTTCTAATTCTGTGCTGAAAACTTGTAAGCTAAAACGAACAATGTCATTGCATCATACCACATACTTAGTTTAATTGGCAACACATGGTTTTTTTTGGAGCTGTTGCCATTTTTTTTTTAAATGGTATGAATGTCAAGCAGCCTGACCTCAGGTAAACTTGCTTTTGCACTTTAATTACAGCAGCCTGTGAGGCCTGTCAGCGAAACTGTTGTAGCCATTGTCTTTGTAGCAGATGAATGACATGGTAAACAGATAAGAAAGACTTAACAAGTCTGGAAAAGAGGACAGCACGGGCTTATATATAAATATGTATGTGGGAGGTGGGCGGGGGTGTTTAAGGGAGGGTTTGTGAGCTGTCAGCCCCCTCGTCAGTTTGCGACGAGGGGCGAGGCCCTTCTCACAGCTCCTTGTGTCTAGCCTTTCTCCCATAGGAATGACAGCCGAGGCTGTGGCTGCCGTGCGTCACCCTGCCCTGGGGAGGCAATGGAGGGACACACCTCACACACAGTCGGCTCTGAGGGCCCTCGCGTAGTCTGCCCACTGCTCAGGCTAATCGGGATGAGCAGCAGTAGGAGCCACGTACCCACATATCACCCTCCAATGCTGCTCCGGTTGTCCACGTGACATCTTATTGCTAGGCCACTTACAACACTGGTTGTTACACAGCTGTTTTTCTTAAGTTTGCCCTTACTGTAAGTAACTGAGCACCAGCTAAAGGCTTCAATCGCAAGGCTGCTTGTCTTCACTCTGCAGTTTTTTTCCTCTCATAGCATCAATATTATCATCATAATCTTTTCATTAAAAGAATATAAAGGTCTGATATTCCTTATTTTTCCTGTCAATAAACCCCATGAAGAGATCAGAACCAACACTGAATTAACAACCTGCGTAGCCCAGACCTTATTTATAGCTTATTCCCCTATGCCGTAGAGCTCCATTGTTGTCCAGGGACAATTAAAAACGCAGCAGTGAGCCTCAGTGGTTCGCTGGGGGGAAATGTTCCGTGATATTATGATGAACACGCACTATGCAGTTTATTTTGAGTCAATACTACATCCACTGTCCCGCTGCTATAAATACGAATGTGTGTGTTTATCCACAGCCTCAATAAATCCACACTGCTAAGACTGCAGTTCTGAGCTGTTTAGGGAAAACACTGAGCCTCTTCTAATATCGAAGTTTACGTTTGAAACACCTTTTTGAAGCTCCGTCTTTAGTAGGAATGATTAGCGTAGGGGCTGAGATGCACAGGAAAGGTGACTGTTTGACTCCTCTGTTGGTTCTGGTGTTTTCATGGGAATAGTTGACAGTCATAATACAGAATATCGTCAGCTTTTATACTTTAACCCTCTGAACCCCGAGCAGTTTGCACCTCTATGGAAACAGCACAACCATGACTAGTTCAGTATCACAAAGTTATGATGCCACAAATCTGATAAGGGTTGCAGCTCAGTCACAAGTAGATTCACATTCATGGTAGGGAGCGCAGAAGTTTAGTTTTGTTGCAGAGTCTGGTTAGTGCAAATAGTCTGTTTCTTTTAAGAGTGATACTAGAATGTAGGGAAATTGACATGATGTGACAAATGAGTAGTTGAAAATCTGTTGATTCGGTTTTTACAGGTTCTGGTACAGTTTCTGTGAAGAAGCACAACGTGGGGTTCAGAGGGTTAAAGCAGAAACATATTTTCTGCAAAGTCATGGGGTAATATTTTTTTTGCCAAAGCACACAGACGTTTCTAGGTAACAGTAGCTCACCAGGGAGTCCCGAGTGCACACCTGCAGAGTCTCATTTGAATCTGTGGTTCTGCATATCAAAGAAATGTCGACTGGTTGTATCCAGTATCGCAGGAATTCACCTCGCACACCCTGCATGTAAAACACTCCCGAGCTCTGAACATTCTGTTCTCACAAACGCAGCATTTTCCAGAGTACAAGTTAATGTATAGATCTTCTGTAGAGACGAGGTCCCCCACGCACAATTTATGCATGTTTGCAGACTTGCAGAGTAATGCTTTAGGCTACAAGAAGTAACATGAAAGAGTTTATTAGTACTTCTGTGTGGCGGTATTATTGAAAAAAAGCGAGAATCGATATTGGTTTCTTCTTGTTCCAGGACTTCACAACCAGACCAGTCCTACAAGTGACAACACCAACACAAAGGAATCTTAGCTCCAGGCCATAATTATTGTATTTCTGACCGCGCCCGCTCAACCTATCTAAAGCTTCGCCGTCGTAAATGCCGTCGCTGTCTTCCACTGCACTTACAGCCTTTTGTTGAGTAGGCATGAAAGGAAACCAAATAGCTTCCATGCTGTTTCCTGTCACTTCTGCTCAGCTGTAGTTGCTAAAACCACTTGTCTGCCAAACGTAACAGCAAATAGGCCACCACTTCCCGTATTGATGAACCCATAAGCATTAGAGGTTTTTTTTTTTCTCTCTCACAATTTTACCAAACCAACTCTCTCAACAAGAGCTTTCTTTCTGTCTCTCTTTGCTCTCAGCCTCCATCACAGGCTGCTCCTCTCACTTTACTCAGATGTTTTTAGAGACAATAAAAACCATTTAACTCGGTCCCTAAGGCCAAAAAAACACAAAACTGCAGCTCAGCAGCCAACGGGAAGCCTCTCAAAGATTCTGTCATTTGCAGAAACAAGCAGAGATGTCATGCTATTGGATTCGGCGCAGGCCAATAGGAAGGGAGCATTGGAGGGGGAGTGTTGTGGGAAGGGAAGTTTTTGAAGGGTCAGGGGGAGGGAGGGAGGGAGGTTTGGGAGTTTGGCAGCAGGGCCTGATGTTTCGACACTGTGCGTGAGAGGAAGAATGGATGCAAGACAAAATGTGTCAGTGAGCGAGCGTGAGCATGTGTGGAAGATGTGTTTGCCCCAACCTTTTCATCTGCTGCACAGGGGGGCTATAGCCACTGCCCGGAGGTGTTCAGTTGTGTCCCGCTAGGACCTACACGCCGGCTGGTAACCCACCTCATAGTGTCTTTCTCTGTAGTCCAGCACCACCTCAAAAACTAATGTTCCACATGTTAGGGCGAAGACATCAGTAGCCGAGGCCAAAAGCATCATTCAGATACATTAAGTAAATGCACTGTTTTTCCAAAATTCTACTTTTTCTTTTTTTTTTTTATTAACGTCTCTGTAACAAACCGGGCTTGTGAAAGTAAGGGTTTGTATTTTGAGACCGCTTCGTCGCTAAATGCCTCTTTTGTTCATTGTCAGTGCGGACACCTCGCATTTTCAGTGGCCGACAAACGCACTGAGACAGCAACACATTCTTTGACCTTCCCCCCCCCCCGCCGCCGCCGTGCTCCAACATCAGATTTGCAAAAATTCCAAGCAGCTGTAATCCTCCGGCAGTCAACTCAAATTTAGGTGCCGAGGAGGCGTTTACAACTATACTCATTACCGTAAAGGTTTAGTGTGTATCCAAGAGCTCCTCAGTCATTATCGTCATCAGGTGCATTGTTTTCTTTAAGTCACCAAACTTCTAAGAGAGCATGTCAGATAGTGTGTTGCTGTACATTTGCTTTGGCACTGTACTTTGCCAAGTGTCTCTTTGTATTTCCTGTCTTTGTCTACTTTTTTTTTTAACATGTCTTCAAAACATACCTCTGACTTTACTCCGTGCATGCATCCATCCAGAACAAACATTCCCCGAAAAGCCAGCTCGACTCCACTCATGTGTGTGTGTGTGTGTGTTCAGTGTGTTGCATGTTGCTTTGCATAATTTTCATCCCACTTAATGTTACCCAGCTGCCTTTCTGTGGTTTCCTTTAAAAAGGGCCGATAACTCGACCTCTATAGCTGTTGAGGTACCCGCCATGAAGACCTGTCTGTTCTCTTTTGCATCACTTGTAGTTCTTCTCTAATTTTACTTTAAAAAAGGGGGGCTTTTATTGTGAAACATACATGTTTCTAATTCCTCACTGTATGCTTGCACATGTTCCTAAAAAGCATTTTATGTGGACGGTGTAGGAAGCATTTGTCAGCGTTTCTGCCTGTCTTAACTTCTTCTCTTTCATTTCTCTGTGCTAAACTCCTCCTCCACACTCCTCAAAATGCAAACTCTTACTCCTTGCCCCCCACAGTTTGCTTACTAGCCAGGCCAGTCCAGTCAGACATGATGAAAGTTAGGGTATGAGATGAAAAGCCTTGACATTCTGAGTTATCGAGAGGGAAACATCATCATCATTTTGTGTTTGCTTCGAGTGCCTCTTGTCTAAACGACGCTGCTTCTATTTCCAGGCAACGTAAAGTTCATTGACTACGAGTATGCTGGGTACAATTACCAAGCCTATGACATTGGGAACCATTTCAACGAGTTTGCTGGTAAGTTGAACTTCTACTGCTTAATATGTGCATTTTAGTGCAATTAAGGCATAAATGCACGGTATTTACTTTTTGTGTGTTTTTAGGCCTGAATGAAGTGGACTATAGTCACTACCCAAGCCGGGCCTTTCAGCTGCAGTGGCTCCGCTCCTACCTGGAGGCCTATAAGGAGCACAAAGGCCAAGGCAATGAAGTGACTGACAGAGAGGTGGAGGTTCTCTACGTCCAGGTCAACCAGTTTGCCCTCGTGAGTATTTGTCGTAGGTCTACAGCTTTGGAAATAAATGTTAGGAGCACTGTGTCCTGTCTCTTTCTGTTGCAGCTCCTGGTGCAAACAGTGTATTTTTTTTTCTCTCTCAAGGTTATAACTGAAAGCTGCAATGGCTGTCTCACTGTATTCCTCTTTATTAAGCAACAAGATGGCTGCCTTCTCGTCTTTTTGCAATTCTCTTCCTTTAGGCATTGATTGGATAAAGCTGCTGACTTTACAGATACGGAAAGTGCACTAAATACAAGACTCAAGATGTGTTTTAAGCCATCTAGAGTGAATTTGGACACATTTTTCATTTCTTTTAGAAGATGCTGTAATTATTTAACCCACATAATGCAATTCTGACTAACCTAACACTATCAAAGCGCTGTCGTGTAGACTTTGTAAAGAAAACCACAAGAGGTTTCATAATTGTTTCCAAAGCTGCGCATTATAACTGCATTAGAATATAAACGACGTTGGATTCTAATAAAGTTTATCTGCACCTGTCTGGTGTTTATGGTCAAGTCTGGACTTTTATAAGATGTCGACTGTTTCTAAATAATTAATAATCTGTGTTTTAGTGTGTCCAGGGCCACTGCAGTCTGTTAATATTTATCCACATATTGATTTATTAAGAGAGAAAAAAACCATTAACCAATATGAGCATGCAGGAGCTCGGCTCGGGAATCTGTTATCAGTAACGAGTGGGTGATGATGATTTAAAAATACATCTATTTTCCTTCGTTTCTTTTTTGGAGTGATGATTTGAACTACCATATCACCAGGAAAGTGGCGGCTTGATGTAAAGTTGTGATCAGTCGCCACTCATAATTTGAGTTAATAGTTGAAGAATAACTGTAAGATTGTAATCGTAGAAGCGGCTCGTGGTTTCCCGTATTTGTTGGCTCTGAGTAAACACTTGTCGAGGTGCCTTGAGGGCAGCGGAGGCTGATAGGAAACAGCTAGCAAAGCAAACTGAGGCTGAAAAATGTAACACTGAAACGTCGAATTAACATTGTTGAAAAGAAAGCCACTGATAAGTTAGACGCCGGCCTTGACGCACACTGTCCCGACAGTCCAGGACAAATATCGCTTCATGTTATCGGTTGTTTCTGCTTCATCATTTCTCCACAATGCCCCTGAAACTGGACGCTTGCAGAGTGCAGGTCTGAGTTGATTTTCCAGGCTGCAGGTGTTGGATCAGCAAACACAGGTTATGAAGTACCTGCTCTGAGTGTGGCAGCAGGATGTTTGCAACGCAGTGGCGCTGGCGGCCTCGGTAAGCCTCGGCGGTCTCCCCAGAGCCACACTCCGCCGCCTTGTTTACTGTCAAGAGCAAAAGCGGGGCAGCGTGGAGGATGGGCAAGAGGAGCAATTGTGTTTCTGTGTCAGCTATTTGTTGTTGTTGCCATAGGGCCTCTGCTGGCTTTGTGTATGCTTGAGTGAGCTGTGTTGGGTAATTAGAAACGACATTTGGTTTAAGACCGTGGGGCGGCGGCGGCTCAGGTGCTGGAACAGGTTGTTCAGTAATTGGAGGTTTGGTGCTTCGACCTCTGGCTTTCATTAAGTCCAATCGAGGAGCCGGCGTGATGGCGCCGCTGCCATTGATGTTTGTTTTAATGGATGAGTGAGTGGCAGAAATTGTAAAGCACTAAAGAGATAGAAGTGTCGTCCAGTCACCTTTTACAGTGAATACACGCTAACCTTGTTTTATCTCCCTGTCGCCGTGTCTCCTCTGTTTCTAGGCATCTCACTTCTTCTGGGGTCTCTGGGCTCTGATCCAGGCCAAGTTCTCCACCATCGACTTCGACTTCTTGGGGTATGTTGGCAAAAGAAACTAGCAAGCTCACTTCATTTAAAGCTCTCTTTTTTATTGTGATCATGCTCAGCAGATTGAATCATTTGTTTAACCCTCTGAAGCCCAAAACCCATGAAGATGTGTCATTTTTAAAAGATGACACCATTTCTCATGGCAAGAAACTGTAAAAACAGGAAAGTTTGCAGATTTTTGTCAGGATATTTAACCGAATATAAGCTTGTGTCATTGTGAACAATTGTAAAAAGCCAGAATTATACAGTTTTTAGTCACCAGATTCTGTAAAAAACTCAAAACCCCGTCCTTCTTGGCGTCACTGAAGAGCCAATAGTGACTCAGCTCTGACCAGCAGTCACGTGACAAAGTGTCAGGGGACTTCTCAGCTGATCGGCAGGCAGTGTTTATACAAAACAGATAAGAGACAAGCATGGAAAATTTTTAAAAATCGAAGCAGTAAAATATCCATAGTGTGTAGAGTCACTGTTTAGTCAGTGTTGGAGACAAATGTAAGCACGAGAAACATGATGAGTCCACGATGTACGATGATCAGTCACAGAAATGCAACCTTACGCTTTTATTTCTTGCCTTTTTTTCCCCTTTCACCTTTTAATGGTGTTGTAACTACGTCATACTGCACAAGAGACACTTCTGAGTGCTCTCTACTTCTAGTCGTGGTTGTTCTGTTTCCATAGAGGTGCAGGACTTTATAAAAAATTGAGCCTACAGTGGCTAAAAATTTCATCAGGATCAGAGAATCCCCAGTTTGGGTTCAGAGGGTTAGAACAAAAAGTATCCAGATCGGCATTATCTGTCCTCCGAGTTTGTTTGTTTGTCTTTTTTGCTCTGGAATCCACCTCGTCGGGGCCTTTTTATCTCTCCGGCTGACGCTGCTGTTCTCTGCGTCCCTCAGATATGCAGTCCTGCGCTTCAACCAGTACTTCAAGATGAAACCAGAAGCCACTGCGCTCAACTTACCTGAATAGAAAGCCTCCACCACCACCCGCCCCTTCCCCCTCACCTTCTCCTCCTCCTCCAGCTCTTCCTCTCATCCGACCTGCTCCGCCGACGACTGCAGAGCGCCCTCTAGAGGTCCGTGTAGAGAAGAGCCACGCTGAGAGTCCTGTTCGGTTCCCCCCCTCGCCGCCCCGAGCGTCTTCATCCGCATGAAGACCGAGCGGACCGTAGTCTTACCCGCCGTCTGCAGACACACCTTTCGTTAACCAGGATTGAGCCCAAACTGGCGGGCGTGTGTGACAGACAGATTTAAGACCTGTTTTAATGTGAAGCCCACGCGACAGCTAAATTACTGAGGTCGTCTCTGTTCTACTAATATGACACATTAATGTGATATCATTTTGTACTCGTGAGCAGCTCAGATCACTGTAAACGGAAAGGCAGACGAGAAATAGCGACTCACCAACATGTGGGATGAAGTAGCCCAAACAAAAAAAAAGAAAAAAAAAAACACTAATGTGACTGCCTGGACGCACCTTCCTCACGCTGATGGGGTGAAAGCTTTGAGAGCCAGCGCAGTTAAAGACCAAATTCATAAAAAAGTAACACAAAGCCCGCTTTGTTTGCTGAAGAAAAAAAAAACAACATGGAAAAGGCCAGTTCTGCCCCGTAATCCCACGTGATCCACCGTGAGGGAAGGAAAACAAAACTCTCATGGCCTGCCTCGTGACTCCTGGTTCCACCCTTCGTTTCCTCCAGTACGCCGTGCATGCAGTAGAGACACGGCGCGTTTACTTCTAGCCTCTCCCTCGGGTCGAGCCCATCGATCTGAGGGCGGGGATTTCTGTTTTCACTGTAGGTTTTTATTCTTATTTTTTTTTGACACTGAAATGTGAACATTCCGTGTTCAGAACGGTAGATTGGGTCGAGCTCTGGTCCGTGCAGTCAGCGGGGCGGCGTCTTAATTCACTGTAAAGCCACGCCGTTGGACGCGCGACCAAAAACACCACGACGTCGTCGTCCGTCGCTCCGTGTCAGGGAAAGCTTCTGGAATCATAAAACACTGCTGTTCGGTCCCAGGCGAACCCGGGACCGGCCTGTTTTTTTTATTTACACTCGCAAATGTTAAATGTGACACGGCCTTACTGACTGTCGGCATTCATCTTTTTTTTTTTTTAAACGTTTATTGGGATTTCGGCGGTAGAAGGACATTCGTCTTCTAGTCTCTTGCACTTGATATTCACCTTTGACCTTTCGTGTTAATCAGATGTTTTTTAGAAGGAGCTCGACGAAGCCTTTTTTTTAAAAAAACGAACACAATCTTTTGGTTATTTAACAAACCTACACCAAAGTGCTGACATCTTTTTTCTTTTTTTTTTTCGCTTTGCACACTGTTATCGTTTTGTAGCACAAAGAGAATTAGAAAAACACGGAGTTGTGAAAATGTGACGGCTTTTATACCTTTTTTTATTTAAAGTGTTAGCGCGGAGGTCTTTGAGAGCGTCGGGAGAGCAGCGACACCGAAAAAAATTCCTCCAGAACAAACCGACGAAGCTCCATGAAGAGACCAACCGGAGCTGTGCGAAGGAGCAGATGTGGAAAGGCTTCGTCTGCCCGCGTGCCTGTGAAAGCTTTTATTTTATACTGACGGTAGTGAACTTTGAGGCCTCATCGCCGGTCTTTAGCGTTTTTTCGCGTCGGCGAAGCGAGCTGGACCTAAACGTCGGACATATGTGCAAATCTTACGTACTTGTTGGGAGAAAGGTTTCGATTAAATTACCGGTTTGAGTTCTGATGGTGGAAAGTTTAAAGGTGTCTGTTGAAGATTGTTCTTTTTTTTTTTTTGCGTGTACGGTTAGACTAAAGTTTACACAACCTTAAATTAATGTACTCAGTCAAATTCAACTTAATCTTAAAATACTAAAAAAAAAAATATCTATCTATCTACTGGTGGAATATTTCATAGAGGCTTTATTTTTGACTCTGTCTGGAACAAATGTGTTGGTATTTAACAGTCTGTCTGCCTGTCGTCGATCTCTCTGGCCACTGTAGCATATGTTTATATGTACATTAAACAAATGTAATAATAATAATATCTTTGCTTGTTCTCATATGTGAATTAATGTACATAGAGGGAGTTCTTTTATTTTTTTGTTTTCTAAAAGTTGCATTAAAGTGAATTATTGCCCGGTATAAGAGGTGAAACTGGAATAAAAAAATAAATAAAAATGTAAATATGCTTTGAAAAATAAAGTTTATTTACGCTTACGGGTGTCTCGTCTTTTTATTTATTTATTTTTTTTTAGACATTCTTAAAGAGAGTTTTCAGTTTTATTTGTATAGTTAATTTAATTTAATGAACAAAGAAAATTTTACGACGACAAGCTTGAAATCATTTAGAAATTTTATTTATTAGGACGAGTGTTTCCCATTTTTCGTTCACTTTGAGGGGAACAGCGCCCCCCTTGGCTAACAGTTAATAAATAGCTCATCGTTGTGGTCAAAGGTGGTACTGCAGCTTCATGGAGCTCTACTAAAGAGGAGGAAAATAAAAGGGAAAAAAATGGCTTTCTTGTTTTAAAACTTGAAGGACAACACGTCCACACAACAAAAACAGAAATTTAATCCCATAATTTAAACTAAACTACCTCGAGAATTAACAGTTTGTCCTTCATTGCTAACAATAATTATATGACAGCGCCAACAGTGTTTGAAAGTCGGTTTTTATCAGCCTGCCAACAAGCATCACAAAGGGCAGTGTGCTTTCATGACAGAGCCGGTTTTAAATCATAAAACACGAGACCTCGTTCGTGCTCGAGTTGCTCATAAGCGGCTAATTGTTTGTTGTCGGTGACGTCATCCGAGTCATGAGACGAAAATGAAGTCATTGTTGTCTGTTTCTCCCGAAGCTGCCTTGTGATGATGAGCTGTGGAGGCAAGTCTCCGGGCTAGGACGGCCTTAAAGGTCCTTCTATTATTAGATCATCTGTGTTTCAATTAGAATTTGAAAATGAGAAAAAAAAAAAAAAAACACAATTCTGTTCTTTGTTTCGACACAAAAAAATGGAAAAAATGAACATTTTAGTGGTTCAGGATAATATCAGATAATCCATAAATCATTTGTAGTTCAAAAACCAAAGATGCTCAGACACATTAATGTTTTTTTAAATTTTGGGTTGTGAAATGAAGAACAGGATTAAGCTTTTTGAATTACAGATTATCTGATGATACCCAAACCCACGACTGAATTTGCAATTCCACAAAAACAATAATTTTTAAAAAGTATTTATTTTCTTTATTGTCTCAAGTGTCTGATTTAAAAAAGTGAAAGAAACATTTTGGTTTTTAGAATTTTTTTCTTCTTCTTTTGGACACCAGAAACAAACATATTCTTCTTCTTCTTCTTCTTCTTCTTCTTCTTCTTCTTATTATTATTATTATTCATTTATTTA